TTCGGATAAACATACGTTATATGTAACTTCTAATTCAATATTCAATATTCCGAGAGAATTTATTTCATGATGTCATCAAAATCACTAGTCATCCTATTCCATATTTTTCTTATTCTGATATTTCAATCAACGTGTCCTCATTCATTTCCTTTAATAGAAAAAGAGGTTGTTGTCAGTTTATTAACTGAGAAAGAAATTGGTTCTTTCAAAGAAGCATGATATTCCTTTATTTGAACAAGATCTTGGTACTTTTTATTGTCAAAGTGGATCAAGTTTAGAATTTTGCCCTCTCTTAGCTCGGAAATTTGCTTTGGAACACCATTCACGCGTCGCTACAATTATTCTCATAATCATATTGGTTATCGTATTGAACTTGTCTCTGCTAGTCTTATAAGCGGTCGTTGGATTACATCAAATGATGACAATTACAGAATTAGCTGTGAACCACAAATTTACCATCTTAAAAATGGTCAGGCAGAGGCTTTTTCTAGTGTTACAAGTAGTTTTCTCGGTGGTGTGAAAGGTTTTGCCATCTTTTACATTAATGATGGCAAGTTTAGCAATTTCATTATCTCCTGGTCGGTTCCTACAATTGGCTCTCCCAAATATGAAATCCTTGGTCATGATCTATCGGAGTATTATATAACATTGTTCTCGAACGTGACCTTGAAAATACGGTTTTTCGAGTTATCGTTAAACGAAAATATTATCAAGATAAACCACCTACCTCATTTTGGACTCTTTTTACCATGATTCCCCCATTTTTGATAATACCATGCTGAAGCTGCTTCTCAAAAGATGATCCGTCCGAAAGAAGAAATATGCTTCACAGTGTTCCAAATCTTGACCCTCCAAATTATGCTCCACCAGCATACTCCTCCTACTCTAGCATTCCAAATCGGGAATCCGGAAACAGGCACTCCAATAATAACCCATTCCGTTAAACATTTCTAGTCATACAATTTATCCAAAATATTATTGTTTTAGCGATCACAAGCAGATTTAATATATCTTATAATAAAGGTATCAAGTTTTAACATATAATATCGATTTTGACTCATTATGAAATAAAATATTTGGATTAGTTTCATAAAGTTGTTAGTATTCAGAATTCTTTTAATAAAGTTTTGTTTTTGTTTGTCATTAATTCGGGTCAAAATGAAGATATTTGAAAGAATTAAGGTTCTAATGGTTTAACATATTCCGTTGGTCTGGATAGATTTATAATGGCATCCTTATCAAATTTATTTACCGGACCGATTAAGTACGTCTGATATGCCTTTATTTGTTTTCTAAAAAAAAGATGGTATATAATGAATAATAAGCTCCTTTTTTTTTCTTTTTTGTGTTTAATTATAACTATTTAAAGCATTAAAAAAAAAAACTTTATGAATTTGCTTTAAAAGAACATCGATTACGTTAACGTTATATTGATGAACGTAATTTTCATAATAAAAATAATCCAAATGCTCATATCGAACGACTGTTTCTAAATCTGTTCAACTAATTGAACGCGATTTGTCAGGAATGTAGTAAAATTTGATTAAACTCTGAAATAGATGAAATGTCTTCAAATACAATTAAAAACAAAACAACACATCAACAAGTTAATTTCTACTATTGAGCAATTGTGTTGGTACATAACTTTTATCATCTATTGATTTATTTCAATAATGCGCTATTTAAGGGACCTAATTTATTCACCATATTTATAAAAAAAAGGCCTATGAATATATTAATCAAACTCTTTACAAATGTCAAAATGTAATCGTATATCCATAAACAAGAGGTAATTTTAAGATTTCCTATTTTGTCAAGTATATGTCACGAGAAAAAGAGGCGCTATTCTTCTCTATGACAAAAAATTTTAAATTACTAAATAATATAAATAATATCATGACAAGCCATTTCAACAACAGGAATTTGATTCGCATTAATTATTTATTATTTTCCAATTCTTTAAGAAAACTAACATATTTCAATCTCCCGTTCAACGATTTGTTGTTGTTCCCGTTCCATGCTATTCGTTGTAATCTATTAAATGAACTTTATTAACGTCATGTCATGTCATCATTAAAAAATTAATTCTGTTAATATGTCCAAAGAACTTATGGGTCAAACAAGAATAAATAATTATTTTGCAAGATTAATCACCTTAAGTGTTACAACATTTACACCATTAAAATTTTAAAAATTTTTTTTTATTTTTGTTATTTTTTTTAAAAAAATATATTTAAACCTTTGTCTAATAAATTAACCCCATGACTTCTGTGACAAATAATGAGTGACAAATAGATTTCACACGCTAAAAAAACGAAAACATGTTACATCACATGTTTCTTTGTCTGTTACTTTAAAAGGATTGTAAAAGTATATTAATCATCTTTCGCGATTCTGCTCAAAGTAAAATTTCTCCTTCTAACCTTTTGACAACAAAACAAACAAATAAAAAAAAGCCAAAATAATAACAAAAATCGTTAAATAAAGTTATTAATTTTTAAAATGAAGAACATAAATAAACGTGAAGAAAGCCAAATTAAAAACAAAATCTTTAAACCACAGAAATTAGTACAATCTGCTGTTGAGCAATCTTAAAGAAATTTTTAAATCTCATGTTCCTATTTTCTCAACCTTTATCTACACTTCCATTATCACCAGTAGCAAGGTGTAATGTTATTCATTGATACCGAATGTAAACTAGCCATTACAATATTAGTTTTTTTTTATAGAAAAGTCCGAGACCGATTTATATGAAAATGTTTATTATAAGATAATTGTTCTTCATCATTTCCCAAAGGACCATCACGAGGTTTAAAAGTCTTAACAAACATTCTTTTTTTTTATTATCTATTTGATGAATCACAGAATTATTAAGGTCCTCATCAATTAACAAAAATCTTAAAGATTAATGTGAAATTAATATAGATGTTTATTAAATCAACATAATACAATGGTTAAAGACAATGGAGAAAAAGTTAAAGCTTTGCAAAAAGAAATTATTGATCTACGAAAAGTACAGATGAGGGATGAAATCTCTTAATAACAGTCGAAACTCAGACAAAATTATATTAAAATCATAATAAGGGAAGGGATACGACCGAAGTGACGAAAGCCGAACTGTTTAAACTATATTAAAAATATAGTAAAGGGTTTGACAAAATTTTTTTGAGGTTTCGGCAGGCATCTATAACAAAAAGATCTACAAAAAGGCAATGAAGATTTGAGAAAAGATATTGATTGACTGCGAAAAGGCAATGAAGAATTAAGACAAGATAATGATAACTGCGAAAGATAATGATGAATTATTGAAAATTAATCATTGATCTTCAAGAAATCAAAAGTTACATGATGAAGTCAGCCAAGAATAAGTATGATCTAATAACGATTTACAGAACTAACTGATGTATTTGTATTTGAAATAAGTGAAATTTCTATCAAGTCCTCATTATTTATTTTTACTAATTAGTCTTTATTTTTGTAGAATGCTTCAATGCTAAATAGGTATATCAACTTTGATTATGAACGGTAGATCCTAATATTATATACCTGTTGTTTATAAAACCTTTCAAATTCGACCCAACAGATTATTTCAATACAAACGAGATAATCACGATTATCAAGATTTTCGGGAAATCTGCAATATTTACAAACGATCCCAGAGAAGTGCTTCAGCATAAAGAAGCTTTTCGTGAATGGAAAGAAAATTCTTCATTATACCAAATTGATTAATATGATATTACGTCAGAACAATCAGACTAATATAAAGTTGGATTTATTGGATTTGTTAGATTTACTTGATTTTTCAAATTTTTCTAATATATATTATTTTTATTATATTTATTAGATTAAACCGTTATTTATTTTGAAGAACTCATAAAGAATATTTAACCACCACAGTATTCTCAGCCTATGTACGAATTATTGGTTATCGGACGTAAGTTGTTCAGTACGCATACGTGCTGGAGCAATATGAAATTTACTGTTAAATTTTCTCTATTAATATATTTTTATATTTTGAATAGGTATGGTATGGTTACGGCTTGTTATGGTCGGTCATCGGCCTTTGACTGACCGACCGTTTAACGATAATTGTCGCCGGAGGGCTATTTGGCCAAAATCGAATTTTAAGACAAATTTCTTAAATGAAATTTTTCTTGTAAATCTTGTATTTGGTCACGTGGAATAATTGCTGAATTTACAGTAATTTATAATTCATTGATTTCTTAACGTTAGCTGCTTTGCTGGTTAATTGACCACGTTATCTTAGATTACAACAAGGTACTTTATGCTTCTTGAGGACTAATTTAGAGTGTAAAGTGTAAAGAAAGAGAAATAAGAAGCAATAAAAAATCTAGAGCGAGAGCGTGAACATCATCAGCTTAAATGAATACTCCCAACATAGGGAATTACTTAGCTGAATCGAGGTTCTATACCTGGTTCCCTTACAAGAACAGGAAATTTAATTTACAGTAAAATGTCTAATGAGTTTGAATTTGCTTATTTGTAAGCACATAAAGAAATCTAAATTTGGCAATATTAGATACCTTAAATAATCTCCGTATTTCAATTTTGTACTCTAATATAAATACTTTATGCATAATAAATTTCGGTTTCTGGAAGAGTTGAAATCACTGGATTCTTCGAACACGAAATAATATAATAATCACTAAAACTGACCCGAGGTTAGAAAGAAGATGCTTGGCAGTATAAATTTAAAGCTTTACGTTTCAGTTATCTTATGCAAATCTTGCAAGTGAACTTAAAATAACGTACGAAAGGTTAATAATTCATATTATTATCTTTAATATTAATAAATATTAACTAAAATTGGATTTCTATACATGAATAATAAGCTTTTATTCGGAAATAAATCTTCTCGTTTACTTCTTATTGGTTTGTAATTCAATGAATTAAAAGAACAAGGAATAAAAAAATATCAAAGTTAGTGATTAGAACCGTCATTAAAAATTTTAATCGGTTAACCAAGTTCTGTTAACCGGCTAAATTAATTAACTTATTAATAATTAACCAGTTCTAATCACCAAATTTTTAGTGAAAGAAACTTATTGTTTATAAATGCTTTAATTTATGACTTATCATAAATTATTCCTTATCGTTATATAAACTAATACTTTAAAGAAAATTCAAACAATTCCAAATTCATTCTAAAGTGATCAAAAAAAAAAGTATGCCTAAATTACTAACTGACGTCGAAAATTATGAACGTACTTTTCGAAATTTTTAAGTTTAAATATAAATATAATATATCATATTTATGTTTAACTGACGAAATTAATTTAATTTCTTCAAGAATTCAATAAAAAAAATTTATATTTCATCAAGTAACTATCTCACATTACAAATTAAATAATTAAACTCATCATTTTTCTGAGATAGTTTAATTCTTTATTAAATGTATAATGTAATATTTTTCCT